GGTCACGACGAGCGGCTTAAAATCACTAAAATTCGCTTCCTCAAAATTCTTAATTATGCACANTTGACGAGGACGATTTACTTTAAGGCTGTTTCACGCAAAATCTAGTGACTGATACCTTATCATAAACTTCGCTCTTTTCAATCTGCATCACAATAACACTCCAGTTTGAGTCTGGAAACTTATTACGGAGGGGTTTACAAATCTTTTGAGGCCAATTACTCTTCTGTGGGTTAATTTTCAAGGTCACGACGAGCGGCTTAAAATCACTAAAATTCGCTTCCTCAAAATTCTTAATTATGCACACTTTTTCAATCGGCAAATTCGCCACCCGGTCAAACACCGAAACACCTAAGTTTCTGACATTTCAAAAGAAGAAATGTCAGTGTAAAACCTGGTATAAAAATTATTTTCGGGCTTTTCATCAGCGCTGAGTAGTAACGCTCTCAAAATCGTGATATTCACAGCACTAACCTGCTAGAAACGAAAACAATAAGCAAGTGCCTGTGACCAAATAATCAAAAGGAACGTGAAAATGTCTTTTTGCATTTGATTTCCTCGGTATCTGGACTTAAGTTACGGCAGAAAAGTCACGTTTAGCTCACCTCCTGTAAGATATTACGTTCAAATATTAAGTACTGGTGTATTCAGAATCGTAGACGATAACGGTAACCATTGCGACGCGCAATGGTTACCGCTTAAAAAATACCCACCACGTTTCTAGGCTTACTATAGGCTATCTCCGGGAGGAATATGAAAAATTTAGTTTTTTTTTACCATGTGCCACATGTTTTCGGTACGGCTCGGTCCTAGTGAACATTCCCTCTTAATAACAATGCTAAAAAAATGTTGCAAAGTCGATAAGAGGAAAGCTATATATAATGGGAAAAAAGCTAGTAAATGGAAGAGAATAAGACAAGAAATATATGTAATCTACAAAATGAGTTACATTTCGAAAAAAAGGATCTGAGTCTCCTCTTAAAAATTCATGAAAGCTCTAAATGTTTCTTAGATTTATTCTTAATTAACATAGAAGAAGAAGAAAAAAAAAATGTCTTTATTCATAGTTTCAAACAGACATTACAACTTACAAGGTACTTATAGAGTTAAACACTATCCCAGTAGTAAAAACTTACTAACATTACAATCTATTTAAACTCAAGGTGACATCTATTTCTAAAACACTTCTGCAACCTTTCTGCATTAGCTCATTGGACCTGGTAAGGATGCGGCCTATCGTGTAGGACCCTGTTCTAACGTGATGGCGGAAGATCCTACAGAGGATGCCAGGGAGTGCCCATAAGACTATTCCACAGTCTCATATCCCTCTCTTAACAATGTGTTGGATCGCGGGGTATAACCCAATTCCGTCAAAATACCGCTTTTTATAATTTGGAGCTCAAAATTTTAGACGAATCTTGAAGCTTCGCGCAAAGAGATTGAGCAATCTCGAGCGATGAAACTACCACGTCTTGCAGAACAACCTCAAGCCATATGTTGACAGCAATTTTTGTAATGACTTAATTGCATTTACCCGACCTACCTTTAAATAAATTAAATATAGGTGAAAAGTAACCCGTTTTTTAAGTATGTGCTACACAAAAAAAAAATTGCTCGAAAATTCAAGTTTTTAGAAGACAAAGACTATTTCTTTGGGATACCCAAAGGATTTTTTGGGAAATTATTCAGAGCGATAAGTAATCGAATTTCAAAGTTGGATGGCTCCCAAGAAGTAATTTTATGTCTTAATTAGCACAATGTACGCTTCGTCAAAAATATTTAATTCTTTTGTGGTATGCCCGTGGGGCAAGATCCTAATTACCATAATGCACGCTTTGCCAAAACTATACAATTCTTTAGTGGTATGCCCGTAGGGCAAGTGGAATTTTGTCGGCGTCCGGAAAAACTTACTCGTGCTTATTTATAACAAATTGCATTCGAAATCATGTGGTTATAAAACTAGTAGTAATCAAAGATTATGAGGGTGGGTTCGACGCTTTCATTTCTTAAAATACATTGAATGATTTCATTAGCTCACTTTAAACACCTGTCTATTGCTAAAATCAACATTTTTATATCAGGACCC